CAGGTTCGATTCTGGCAGGCAGAAGGCAGCAATCAATGATTCTCTCTCATCATTGATGTTTCTGTCCTTCTCTTCCTCTACCTTCCTCTCTGAGGTCAATAAAAATATATTAAAAAAAAAAAAAGGCTCTCAGAGATGAATCTTATGTTTTTGGCCCACTTATTTGTCTGCCAACACTTACTTCTTGCTCCTGTCAAGTTGACCTTCTTGCCTGCCTCCATTTCTTTTTTTTCTTTTTGTATATATATATATTTTATTTTATTTTTAATTTATTTTTTCAATTAAATCTTTATTGTTCAGATTATTACAGTTGTTCCTCTTTTTCCTCCCCATAGCTCCCCTCCACCTGGTTCCCACCCCACCCTCCGCCCTCATCCCCCTCCACTGTCCTCATCCATAGGTGCACGATTATTGTCCGGTCTCTTCCCGCAGGCTGATTGTTCGAAGGCAAAAGGGGAAACTCATCTAGTATTTGGAGTTAAAACTGCAGTAAAGCAATATGAACATCCCTCTTCTCCTTTACGGTCTTTACTACTTTCCACATAGAACCTTTGAGCTCACAACACACATACACTGTAAACATGCCAGAAATGTCTTGGGTGCATCTGTATGTTATAGATGCCACACACACATATGACACGCTCATTGGTTGTGTTTTGAAAGGAGTTGGGACCATGGAACTCAATCCAGTGGCCATGAAGTGAGGTGGCATCTGCTAGGCTGGATGGGAGTGGCCTTTGTTGACCTTCCAGTTTTGTTCTTTTTTTTTTTTAAATTAAATCTTTATTGTTCAGATTATTACAGTTGTTCCTCTTTTTTCCCCCCATAGCTCCCCACCACCCGGTTCCCATCCCACCCTCCGCCCTCACCCCCCACCCCCACTATTCTCATCCATAGGTGCACGATGTTTGTCAGGTCTCTTCCTGCATCCCCCACACCCCTTTCCCCCCAAGAATAGTCAGGCCACTCCCTTTCTATGCCCCTGATTCTATTATAATCACCAGTTTATTCTGTTCATCAGGTTATTTATTCACTTGATTTTTAGATTCACTTATTGATAGATGTGTATTTCTTGTTCATAATTTGTATCTTTACCTTTTTTTCTTCTTCCTCTTCTTAAAGGATACCTTTCAGCATTTCATATAATACTGGTTTGGTGGTGATGAACTCCTTTAGCTTTTCCTTATCTGTGAAGCTCTTTACCCGACCTTCAATTCTGAGTGATAGCTTTGCTGGATAAAGTAATCTTGGTTGTAGGTTCTTGGCATTCATCACTTTGAATATTTCTTGCCACTCCCTTCTGGCCTGCAAAGTTTTTGTTGAGAAATCCGCTGACAGTCGTATAGGTATTCCCTTGTAGGTAACTGAGTTTCTTTCTCTTGCTGCTTTTAAGATTCTCTCTTTGTCTTTTGCTCTTGGCATTTTAATTATGATGTGTCTTGGTGTGGTCCTCTTTGGATTCCTTTTGTTTGGGGTTCTCTGCGCTTCCTGGACCTGCAAGTCTATTTCTTTCACCAGGTGGGGGAGGTTTTCTGTCATTATTTCTTCAAATAGGTTTTCAATATCTTGCTCTCTCTCATCTTCTGGCACCCCTATAATTCTGATGTTGGTACGCTTGAAGCTGTCCCAGAGGCTCCTTACACTATCTTCATATTTTCGGATTCTTTTTTCATTTTGCTTTTCTGGTTGGGTGTTTTTTGCTTCTTCGCATTTCAAATCTTTGCCTTGATTCTTGCGCTCCTCTGGTCTGCTGTTGGGAGTCTGTATAATATTCGTTATTTCAGTCTGTGTATGCTTAATTTCTAGTTGGTTCTTTATCATAACATCGAGGGTCTCATTAGATTTCTTGTAGATCTCAATAACTTTATCGGCGGCTCCTAGACAGTTCTTGAGAGACCTTAAAAGTGTGGTTCTGAACTGAATATCTTCCATTGACAGTTTTGTCCTGTTTCTTTGTCTCCGCATTTTTTTATGCTTTCTTGGTGCACCCCCTAGTGGTCTTTGTGTGCAGTCTTGTTGTAGTTAAGCCTTGATTGTTGTACTTAATACTAGGGGGATTTGGCCTCCAGGCCAACTGGCTGTGAGAATCAGCTGTGTCTGCAGTGGGAAAACTTCTGTCCTCTAGGGAGGTGCTAATCTAGCCTTTGCCTGAGGCTATCTGGCAAACGGCTCTGTGCAGGGCTTGGGTGGGACGGGTTGCACGGGATCAACAGAGCGGGTGGAGGGAGCATTTATGGCTGCTCTCAGTCCTGTCCCCAGAGGCTCTGCCTCTCAGAGTCCCAGCAACTGCTGCAAACCTCGGAGAGAAAGCTGCCCTCGCGTTCCGACCGATGCCAGACAGTCCCGCTTCTCCGGTTTGAGTCTGGGTCCCTAGAGACTCGCCCGGATCTGGAGCTCAGAGTCTGAGACTCCCTCCCGATTGAAAACGACAACCGTGCCCTCAGCTACCAGCCTGCTCCGCGCGTACCTCCGCACCTTTGTATTTTCCGCACTGCGCCTCCTCTGAGTCTCCTATGCTATTCTCTTTCCTTCTAGTTGAAGAATTTCCCCTCAGCCAGTCTTCCTGTGTTTCTGGGCGATGTCCGTTCCATCTTTTAGTTGTATTTTTTTTTTTTAAATATATTTTATTGAGTTTTTACAGAGAGGAAAGGAGAGAGATAGAGAGTTAGAAACATCGATGAGAGAGAAACATCGACCAGCTGCCTCCTGCACACTCCCCACTGGGGATGTGCCCGCAGCCAAGGTACATGCCCTTGACCGGAATCGAACCTGGGACCTTTGAGTCCGCAGGCCGACGCTCTATCCACTGAGCCAAACCGGTTTCGGCATTTTTAGTTGTATTTTTGAAGTGGTTGTTTGAGGCAGCTAACTCCGGTGTTTACCTATGCCGCCATCTTGGTTTTTCCTTATTCCAGATTTCTTTGCTCTTGGCATTTTAATTATGATGTGTCTTGGTGTGGTCCTCTTTGGATTCCTTTTGTTTGGGATTCTCTGCGCTTCCTGGACTTGTAAGTCTATTTCTTTCACCAGGTGGGGGAAGTTTTCTGTCATTATTTCTTCAAATAGGTTTTCAATATCTTGCTCTCTCTCATCTTCTGGCACCCCTATAATTCTGATGTTGGTACGCTTGAAGCTGTCCCAGAGGCTCCTTACGCTATCTTCGTATTTTCGGATTCTTTTTTCATTTTGCTTTTCTGGTTGGGTGTTTTTTGCTTCTTCGTATTTCAAATCTTTGACTTGATTCTTGGGATCCTCTAGTCTGCTGTTGGAACTCTGCATAATATCCTTTATTTCAGTCAGTGTATGCTTAATTTCTAATTGGTCCTTTTTCATAACCTCGAGGGTCTCACTAGATTTCTTGAGGGTCTCACTACATTTATCGGCAGTCTCAGCAGACTTTTTGAGGGTCTTACTAAATTTATTGGTGGTTTCTAGAAAGTTCTTGAAAAACCTTAAAAGTCTCGTTTTGAACTCTATATCCAGTAGTTTGCTTTCCTCCATTTCAGTCATTTGTGCCCTGTTTCTTTGTCTCTGCATTTTTTATGCTTCCCTGTGTTGGTAGAGTGGCTTTGTGTGCTAGGTGTCCTATAGGGCCCAGTGGCTCAGCCTCCCCAATTACCTAAGGTGGACACTCTTGGTGCACCCCTTTGTGAGCTTTGTGCACAGTCTTGTTGTAGTTAAGCCTTGATTGTTGTAGGTATCACTGGGAGGAATTGAACTCCAGGCCAATTGGCTGTGAGAATCAGCTGTGTCTACAGTGGGAGAACTTCTGTGCTGAAGACACCCTTATGGGGCAAGACTTGCTTCAGGGGGGCTTTGGTGCTCACTGAGTCTGCCCTCTGAGTGTGTCCCTTATGGATCTGAGGAGTTGTAATCTGGATGGTCCCACTCTGACTACTGGATACACTGGCTCTTGGATCTAAGGAGGTGCTAATTTAGTCTCTTCCTGAGGCTACCCAGGAGGAGCTACGAAGAGATCTGCAGATTCCCCTTCCTTGTTTGGGGTTTGGAGGTGCCCAAATGAGGCCCAGCTGTGAAGCAATGCAAGCTGCTGTGGGGCCTTGGGCCTTCTCTTGTAAGTTCTGGGTCTGTCTGGCCCAGCTGCAGTTTGTTAGGTAATTTTCAGATTGCGAAGGGCCAGGGCATTCATATGCAAAAGCCTCTGCCCAGCTTGGGTGGGGAGGGGTTTCAGGGGATCAACAGGGCGGAGCAAGCAGCTATGGCTGATCCTCAGCCCTGCCCTAAGGGGCCACGCGTCTCAGTGTCCCGGTAATTGCTACAAGCACCTCCAAGAGAAAGCCACCCTCGAGTTCTGAGTTCTGCCCGCTGCCAGATCATCCAGTCTCTCCCCGCACGAGTCCGGGTCCCCAGAAACTTCCCGGAACTGGAGTTCAGAGCAGTTGGGGGCTTGTGATTCCCTCCCGATTAAAAAAGACAGCCGTGTCCTTGGTGGCCAGCCCTTGCCGCGTGCACCTCCGTACCTCTGCACTCCACCTCCACGGCTCCTCTGAGTCTCAGTGTGCTTTTCTCTTTCCTTCTAGTTGTAGAATTTCCACTCAGCCAGCCTTCCTGTGGTTCTGGATGATGTCTGTTTTGTCTTTTAGTTGTATTTTTGAAGTGGTTGTGCGAGGCAGCAATTTCCGGTGTTTACCTATGCCGCCATCTTGGTTTCTCTCTTTTTTTATATATTTTTATTGATTTCAGAAAGGAAGGGAGAAGGAGAGAGAGATTGAAATGAGAGAAAATCGTTGATTGGCTGCCTCCTGCATGCCCCTCACTGGGGATCAAGATCACAACCCCAGCATGTTCCCTTGACCAGAATTGAACCTGAGACCCTTTAGTCCGCAGGTCGATGCTCTATCCCAGCCATGGGCAAACTACGGCCCACGGGCCGGATCCGGCCCGTTTGAAATGAATAAAACTATTGAAAAAAAAGACCACACCCTTTTATGTAATGATGTTTACTTTGAATTTATATTAGTTCACACAAACACTCCATCCATGCTTTTGTTCCGGCCCTCCGGTCCAGTTTAAGAACCCATTGTGGCCCTCGAGTCAAAAAGTTTGCCCACCCCTGCTCTATCCATTGAGCAAAACCAGCCAGGGCCCTGGCTCCTTTTCTGCACAAAATGTGGTCACTGTATTTCTCTGCTCATCCAAATCATTTAAGAGTAAACTAATATTCCTCAGTTCTGTGAAGTTTTTCCCACTTCGATCTGTGCTATTCTGTGCAAACTTTGTATAAGTTGTCCTATATACTTAATTACCTCAAAAGTTTAATTGGCCTGTTAGTTTGTTTTGTTTTAATTGAAAATAAAAATTATAGCACTAAATATAGTGATTTTCAAAAAATCACTCAAAATGCCAACACAATAAAATAACTTTTAAAATATTTTGAGTAGCCTTCCAAGTTTTATAATATGCCCATGTACTTTATATGACTGCTGGCTGATTCATTTTCATGTCTCCCCAGCGTTTGTTATCCGAAAGGCACGCCCCTTCTCATCTAGCTCCAAATAGCAACAACCCAAGAGAAAGTTTAATCCATCTTGGGACACATGCCCATCACATAGTGTCTCATTCCTTTGAACCAATGAATGGGGCTGGAGGAATGAGCTACTATATTTGGCCACATCAAGATCATCTTGTGGCCACATGATTAGATCCCGTGATTGGCAGCTCCATCAGACTCAAAATCGAAGTTGGCAAGTGGACGGGAGAAGACAGTTCTGTAAGGGAAGGGAGGCAGTTATGGATAGACAGAAACAACAGCTGTCTACAAAAAGCATGATTCTTCTCAGTATTGGTAGAATGACCCATTCCCCCCAAATCTGGTCATCCTTTGGTGAATTGAAAACAAAAGTTTTGAAACTATAAAATTGAGGACTGAATTCTCAGGTAACGACAAATATCAGAGGGTACATTTGAATGATACTGATTTTACCTAATTATGATTATCTTCTTTCATTTGAGTGTCAGAATGGATTTTATAATAACCAGATGGTGTGGAATGTCTAAGAGGGGACTATTCTACTTTTAAAGAGGAGTACACTGAAGTGTGGAAGGATGGAAAACAAACATAAAATCCTGTCACCGGCCCATTGCCTGGGGCAGTCAAGACATTTTAGCCTTATCTTACTTATATTTTCCACAGAGGAGGTTTCTAAAGTTAAAATTCACAGTGGATTTTTTTTTTTATTGTAAGATGGCTTAAGGTTATGCTGTTTTATTTCCCTAGTGTTTTAAATTAAAAGCTTTTACATCCTTTTAAAAAAATAAGGCAGAAGAAATGTTGTTTAAATTGAATGAATACACCCACATAAGAAGGAATAAAAATTCTGCTTCCAAATATGTGTGTTAGGTTTTCCTGCCAACAATGCTTTGCTTCTGCGCCAGCCATAAATCTCCACTCATATCTGTGTTTTCAAAGGCGCTTGTTCTCATATTTTGAAATTGTTTGAACAGGTTAGCTATTACAATATTGCTGCCCACATAAGAGGGAGGTGAAGCAAAACACTCCCTCCTTATTTTCTTTTGCCAGCAAATTTCTGACTCATAGAGCAGCTAAAAAAAAAAGTGTTGTCTTTTGAGCCCTGTATCTAACTTTGCTGTTTCCTTGCGATGTATTATTTGAAAACTTATTTACATTTTAAAAATATATAACTTTTTTTGGTTAATCCTCTTTACTGGATAAAGTTCATATAGGTGCAAGCACCAGAAACAGATCTTTCACTTAGCAAAAATGAGATTTATTGTGAAAGCTCACATAGAAGACAGAGCTGAACAGCCGAGTCTCAGGAAAGGTGGCAACAGGGCAGTCCTTCAGAAACAGGAAGAGCTGTGGGCTTCTCATCTGAACAGTGTCAGAGGTGACTTGGCTCTTACCACCTTCTGACTCTGTTTTAATTCTCAAAGTTCCCAGGAAAGAACCTGATAGATCAGCATAGCTAAGGACAGGATGTGTAATGTAGGTATGGCCTTTAAAGAAAACATGATGTACCAGGAAGCCTTTGTAACATGGCAAAGGTGACAAGGCAGTGGGCTTCCTATCAGATGCGTGTGGCAGAATGACAAGAAAGCCAGGGAAGAGTAGAAAGCAGGTCAGTAGGGCAGGGAATCAGGTAGGAGAGCAAGCAGAAGCCCAGCCATGAAGACTTGGGCAATAGATCAGGATTAGACTGGCAGCCAAATGTGGAGTTGGAGTTATCTGAGCACATCTGGCCCCAGGTCAAGGTTGGCTCTGAGAACTGGAAGAGGACTGTGCCTGCCCTTGGGAATGAGCGGGGAGCCAGTAGAAAGGGTGTGCAGGCTGGGAACCAGGCTGGGCCTGGCATGCACCATTCCTTGATGCAGAACTTGGAACACATTTCTCCTCACTCATCCGCTGACACAATGAGAGACAGGCCCAGCTGCCTTAATCCCAGCAAAGTGTACCAACAAAAGTGCTTGCTTATTTCATTGTCTCTCAACTATTGGTGCTCATTATGTTTTCTAGTTGATGGTATTTGGCCTTGAATCCAACTTGCATGTTGATGTGACCGAGAGAAGGGCGGATGCTCTCTTTCATTTTGTGCCTGCTGTGTTTCAGACATAGTGACAGAGATCCCATGTGCTTTAGTGCATTTTAAAACATCTTCAAAATAGCCCTTTGAGGGAAGGATTACCCCCCCCCCCGCCATTTTTTAAAATCCTCACCCGAGGATACGTTTATTGATTTTAGAGAGGAAGAGGCAGAGAGAGAGAGAAAGAAAGAGAGAGACATTGATGTGAAAGAGAAACAATGATTAGTTGCTTCTTGTACTCACCTCAACTAAGGATTGAACCCGCAACCCAGGTATGTGCCCTGACTGGGAATCGAACCCATGACCTTTTGGTGTATGGGATACCAATCAACTGAGCCACCAGTCTTTTTATAGATGAACTAGTGGCCCGGTGCACGAAATTTGTGCATGGGGGAGTGGGGGTGTCCCTCAGCCCTGCCTGAACCCTCTCGCAATCTGGGACCCCTGCCTCCTAACTGCTTGCCTGCCTGCCTGATTGCCCCTAACCACTCTGTCTGCCAGCCTGCTAGCCCCCAACTACCCCCCCGCCAGCCTGCTTGCCCCTAACCACCTCTGCCTCAGCCCTGACACCATGGCTTTGTCCGGAAGGTCTCCCGGTCTAATTAGCATATTACCCTGTTATTGGTATAGATTAACTTGGGCCTATGAAGGTATCTTAGTCCATTTGGGCTCCTATGGCAAAATACCGAAGACTGGTGGCTTATAAACACTTATTTCTTCCAGTTCTAGAGGCTGGGAAGTCCGAGATCATGGAGCTGGCAGATGCGGTGTCTGGTAAGGGCCCACTTTCAAGACAGCTATCCTTGCACTGTAACCTCAAAAGGCAGAAGGGACAAGGTAGCTTTCTCTGTGAGGCCTCTCTTATAAGGGCAGTAGGTTCATTCATAACAGCTCTGCTCTCATGATCTAATCACCTCCTGAATGTCCCACCTCTTAATACCATCATCACCTTGAGAGTTAGGTTCCAACATATGAATTTTAGGGGACACAGACATGCAGACCGTAGCAGAAGGTATAGTAGCTTGAACAAAATTCTCTCCGGCCCCAGTGCTCATATTTCCTTTTCACAGCATTGTTTAGATTCTCTTGGGTCTCATCTCATCTCCCGGAGTCTGCCTTGATGGTGACTGTATGATAGCCATGATGTCATGGGCCATGGAATACACTGGCATCCAGAAACCTCGACTTTGGGCTCAGCTGTGTTATTAATTAGATGGTAGTTTAGTTTCCTCATCTGTGAAATGAGTGGGGTGAATTAGCTGACAGTAATATTCTTTTTAAAAAAATATTATTTTTATTGATTTCAGAGAGGAAGGGAGAGGGAGAGAGAGATAGAAACATCAATGATGAGAGAGAATCATTGATTGGCTGCCTCCTGCACATCCCCTACTGGGGATCGAGCCCACAACCCAGGCATGTGCCCTTGCCGGAATCTAACCTGGGCCTCTTCAGTCCTCAGGCTGACGTTCTATCCACAGAGCCAAACCAGCCAGGGCAGTAATATTCTTTTATTGTTCTAAAAATACCAAGTTTCCGATTTCCTCACCTTTGAGGTATGAGAGATCACTTCTGTTTTAGAGAACTTTATTTTGGTCTGTAGATATCTGCCTCATGGTTACCTGATTATGTTAGCCTCTGCAAAAAAGTGAAAAATTTGCCGAACCGGTTTGGCTCAGTGGATAGAGCATCAGCCTTCGGACTGAAGGGTCCCGGGTTCGATTCCTGTCAAGGGCATTTACCTTGGTTGCAGGCACATCCCCAGTAGGGGGTGTGCAGGAGGCAGCTGGTCTATGTTTCTCTCTCATCGATGTTTCTGACTCTCTATCCCTCTCCCTTCCTCTCTGTAAAAAAATCAATAAAATATATTAAAATAAATAAATAAATAATTTTTTTAAAAATGCTGTGTTTATAGGCATATAAAAAAATTTCTTAGCTAATTTTTTCACATGAGGTGTAATTCAACGAAACAGAATTGAGTGCCACATCTGCATGGTCTGGTATTCTCTAGGAAACGTTGTACAGTTTCTCAGGTGTAACATACATTGCCTTCTCTACTTTTAGCATTGGTCCATAAATGTTATTTTTAAACTTCCTCCCCCAATGTTAGTAGTGAAAATCATTTTTTAATCTCAGGAAAAACGTGTAGGATAGGTGGGTGGGGATGAAAAATAAGGAAAAGGCCTGGATTCCACATAGTAAATTAATTCACCGAATGAAGAAACTACCACTTATCAAGTGCTTCTAGATGCCAGGCAATATACTTGGTATGCTTAAATCTTCCAAACAACCCTAGGAACTAGGTGCTATATGAATCTCCATTTTAGAGATGATGAAACTAAATTCCAGAGAAAACTGATAACTGTACAAAGTAACCCAAGGAGCAGGTGGTGAGAATAAGACTTGAATTCAGATTTGCCTGATTCCAAAGCCCACTTCTCACCCAGTCACTAGCCTATGTGGCTGCTCATGTTAGGCGGGGGTCTAGGCACTGGGATCACAAAAACTTGGTAGCGAGCTATGCTTTCTACTCTTCCTTTATCTTCCTCCTGAGTTTGTCTTACTAAATATAAACATTGCATGGACTTATGTTAGTAATAACACATAGCATTTTTGTGGTATCAAATAACTCACGATGTGCTTGGCATTATGCTTTATAAATTAGATTGATAGTCACATCAAAGAAGGCACTAGGACATAGTGGTTAAGAGTGCAGGTCTAGAGAGAAAAAAAATGAGTGCAGGTCTAAAGCCAGTGGTTGAGCATCGACCAATGAACCAGGAGGTCATGGTTCGATTCCTGGTCAGGGCACATGCCTTGGTTGCAGGCTTGATCTCCAGTGTGGGAAGTAAAGGAGAAAACAGATCGGTGATTCTCTCTCATCATTGATGTTTCTATCTCTCCCTCTTCCTTCCTCTCTGAAATCAATAAAAATATATATATATTTTTAAAAAGAGCACAGGTCTGAAATCTTGAGCTCAGTCACTTTCTGGCTATATGAAACCTAATTAATTAATCTCTCTGTGCCTAATGTTTCCCCTATAAAATGGACTTTATAGGCTAGTGTTATTATATTGCACTTTCATTTTTGACCTAAACTGAATCACCTAGCTTGGTCCTTGATTTTTTTTTTTTCTGCAGAAGTTGCTGGTGTGTCCTATAGCAAATTT